TGGACAAGGTTATACCTGTTGTCATCGCCCGCAGAGGTGCCCCGTCAGGACACTAGATAGTCCAAAGGCCAATGCTGTATATATATATCTATATATAGTATTTGTTTAACAGTGGAAAAAGGGCAGAGCGCTTTAGTGTAAAAACTTTCATACTCATCTACAGGTCGATGAAGCATTTGACACACATTGCAGACTTGTATACCAAATGTAGTAGGTGTTCCTTACATCTAGTTGTTAGAGTTAGACAAATAGCTATATTTTTAGACAATTGCCTTTTATTATGTAGATTTTGAAGTTATTTTGTACTCCGTTTCAATTACGTTTTATCCTCAACAAGTTAGCTGAGAAACACTTTACGAAGTTGTTCCAGAACATTGCACATTTACGGCGAGTTTGTGGCATGTTTTATATTACTAGTATATCATCTTGAAAACTATGTGCCAATTTCTAGAAACTTACAGGTAGTTTTAAATGACATAGAGTTGACTTATTGTCGTCTTGACTGTCGTATTGTCGTCTTCACTGGAACAGAAAATGGCAATCTATTGAATAAAGACGCGATGCCTTTTAGATTGAGACGGTGTAAGATGTGACTAGCATAAGCGTTTTACTCTCTTATTGCCACATTGTGGCATGCGTCCGACAACATGGCTCTATTTAATCAGAGCGCAGGTTTGCCTGAAGAAAAAAACAGTTCATTGATCTTTCGACCTTAAAATTCACTATTTTGTACGTTCAATGAGAACGATCTATTAGTGAAAAATTGTGTAATCTTGTATTACCGTAAATTCTCGATTGATATACGCAGCCTTCTTCATAACCGGTGTAATCATGTATGTCTTTATTAAAGTTCGTTCGTTATGCAGTATTGTATTGGGAAACGTTTCGTGTGTTTTCGAGCGGCCGGTTCGCAAGGCGTCATCATCGCAACGAAAGGTAAGGCAATTTCCCGATTGACCAACCCCCATGGCGAGTAACAATCACCGAGGCGGAGAACTGGTTGGAGTATTAATGCCGCTGTGAATGTATAGGTGCTACCGTATTTAAACTTTGACACCTAAAGACAAAACAACAACAATGTTTAAAAAACTCGTAATGTATTATGTCTCAAAATCAAAGGCAGAAAAACTACCATACTTGTAAGTATTAATTCGTAAACGTAAAGTCATTCGTAAACGTAAAGTCTGTTCAGAGGAGAGTTAAGACTTTTATCTCGGGGCCCAGGTTATGGAAAGTTTGTTCTTGTGAATAAAAGAGAGCGGGCGGCAGAGAATTCAGAAAGCTAAATTTTAAACTCGGGCGCCTGTCATTGTCGAGGCAGAACTGTCATATGTTATGTTGCAACGATACGAGAACGTACAAGGTTAGCGGACTATTTCAAATTTTACCACTCATAAACCCTCTTACAATTCAGTTTATACGTTGTACTTACCGTACGGGGCATTCCTTTTCGGCCGGGGTTCCACTGAGATCGGCTCCGACGAACCATTCAGTCGGCATGACATGAGTCCTTGCGCCGGGAGTTACATGTACCTGAACCGTCACTCCCTTGCGCCGGGAGTGACGTACATTTTCTTACCGTGCGTCACTTGACTTTTTGTTGGTGTTAATATCGACTATACTCAGAAGAAATATGTTCATTTATTGAAGTTATTTCCACTCGTTATTGTACAAAATACACATCGAAGTCGACATGCAGGCGGGGTCCCGAACCCGATTGGCACGGAAGTGGCGTCATGGGAGCCGAAAGGTAAGCCGCGGGCCTTACAAAAATTATAATAATTTTTCTTTTGTACCAAAAACCGCCGTGAATTTTAGGCGTGAGTTACCGATTTATATTTTTTCTACGTCAGACATGTCATGTTTCGTGGGGCAACATCGCAACACAAGCGGACGCCCGCGCGCCCCAGGAGGTGGCAAATTGCTATTGTCTTGTCGGCGCGCAAAACAAACATGAAATCCGACCCTACGCATTACGAAACGGTAACGCGTTAGAAATAATTTCTGACGATTTTCTAACGATTTTCTGACGAAAATCTAACCATTTTCTGACGAAAATCTAACGATTTTCTGACGAAAATCTAACTCGTTAGTAACGGGGTACCCGGTTAACTATAACGCGAACGGTACTGTAGATACATGTAGCATCCTGTATTGCATATTAGGCCACAGCAAGTAATTTTTATGGATGACATCAGCGCTTGCATTGATTTTCGCCTGATTTGGGGAAAAAAAACAAGAAATTTTGTTGCCTTCTGACAGTGGTCAATATGCCGAAAATGGGCAAAGATGTCTGCTGGCATGCCAGAAGGTGGATGGCAGATAACAATGAAGAGAGGAGACGAGAAAAGACTCTGATTTAATGTTTTGCTTCTTACTTTGATGCAGTGATATGTGATTCTGGCTGTGTATATGTGGTGTTCCCACTGAATCAAAACCATTTGTACAATGATTGAGTCAAAATTTTAAAATGTAGGAACCTTGTTTTTTTCGGCCTGCCTTGTTTTTTTTTCGCCCGCTCGCATTAGATTTGGAGTCTGCGGAGGATGTCATCCATAAAATTTACTTGCTGTGGCCTTAGCATTGTACCAATTCAGGGTAACTGCTACTGTAACAGTTAATTCTACATTTAGATATCAGAATTGCTGGTTGTCTGAGTATAGAATAGTTTCTTTTTACAACACAGCTTCTGCTCTTCCCACACCATCTTGTTTGTATCAGGAGTGAATCTTCTACCTCTTCTTCATTGTGTTGATTGGTCATTTTTGTGACTAGCCATTTTCATCATATCAAAGCTTTTATCCCTAAAACAATAATATTATTCTAGAAGCCTTCCTATGTTCAACTTGTAGCAAGCAACACTGCTTAATATTTTGAGTGATGCAATTTTGCTTCTAGTCATACTCCTTTTTAATAAGATTGGCAATGCATGATGCTTATTGACTTTTTTGCACTGGTAGCAACCTGCTGGTGAAGAAGAGAAGCAGGAAACAGTAACAGTTGAGGCTGAAGCTGACAGCATTACAGATAACCAGGTGCTTCTGCTAGCTGCTTTAGAGCTTTGCCATGTCACTGTTTCCTTCTGCCACATTTGAAAATTCATAGTTCTTATGTATCAGAATTAGTGCTGCATACCTAAACCCAATTTTAAGTTCAGGTCCGGATTCAAATCCAGAGGTTTAGGTTCAGTTCCGGACTTGTAAGTCCAGACCTAAACCCATGGCATATACAAAATTGCATGTTGGCAACCTTGCAATGTTGTCTGGGTGAAACTTTGGCCACATAACATGGAGGCCGGTACCTGACGATGCCCGATGGCGATGTTTTCTTCGTTTTGTAGCAAAGATTTTACAATCTACATGTACAAAAGGTTTTAGGTGGTTAAATGGAAAGAAAAGGGGTATGTGAAATGGTCTTTTATGGTAATAAGTCTGGACTCGGTTCTTGACTTTTATTTTTTTTTGGACTTGAACCTAAACATTCTTACAAGTCTGGATCCAAGTCCAGTGAACCGGTATGCATCACTAATCAGAATATGTGCAATTTTTAGACTTTTCTGCCAACAATTCAGCAACCTTAGGAAACACTTTGAAGTTCACAATACATAAAGGTGGCCCCAGCACAACTAATCAGTCAAGGCAATTAATTATGTAGCATTGTAGCATGCCAGCTTTTTCTTTTACATTTCCTAAGTTGAAAAGTAATTTTTTTCTTGCAGTTTTTTCATCATTGACTTGTCATGCTCATCATTACTACTAACCGTCATACCTAAACTGTACATACTGGGTATAATTCAATTTTTGTATCCTTAGGCAATTAGTGTTTGAAGAGGTTTATAATCTTGGTCTTACTAACATACCCTTGTGTGTTCCCTTTGGTGGCTGCTAGCAAACCAAGGAGGCTGGCCGTCCAGATAAAGGTGCCGGCTATCATGGTGCCCCATCTGGAGATTCTACCCAGCAGGTGCCTATATTAACACTTTAGGCCACGCCAATTTAATTTGTTTTTCTCGGATTCGCCCTGTCCATTTTTTTCTGATTTGCACAAAAAAAAATTTTTAGGTTCTAAATCAACTGCAAAATGCACAATAAAAGACATATTTTGGCTGGAACGTCCTCTTCTTCTTAGTTGTTAAAAGTTTTTCAATGTAACAATGCAACTTTGTTTCATTTAAAGTTCAAAATACAGTGTATATTGTTTTAATTATAAACCAGCCTGGTATGTTGACTTCATAGCTCATATTGTACCGTCTGAAAAAACCAAGAAGCAACAAATTAAATTGGTGTGGCCTTACTGTAACTTCAGGCATGCAAAATCTTTTGGCATGGGGTTTTTATGATTTCTAATATTTAGTAGTTGCATTGGGCTCAAGTGTTACATTTTTTTTTTACATCAATGATATTTTTTAATGTGCTAGTTTTGTTTATTTTTGCATGGGAGCAGCTTTATGTTTTGTTTTGCTTGTTCTCTGTAGTTACCTGACACTACTGACAGTGGTGGTGGTGGTGCTAGTGGTGCCAGTGATGCTACCATCTTTGCTACCGTTATACCAAAAGTACAGGTACTCTGGGCATGCTAAGCTGCCTTCTGTCACTTTTGTGCAGTCACATTTGTCCTAGGTCATTGTACGATTTTGATGCAGGCTCTTATAGAACCAACTGCTTACAAGGGTGTATCTACACAATGTATCCTGAGAATGCCAGTTTGTAATCCTATGAAGATCACACAATGTATGTGACTGGGCTTTTTGTTCTTTGCCAAGAAGTATTATTCAAAATTTAACTATCAGTAGGAAAAATTATACAGAACAAAGGATATCATTCATTAGGAAGGTCAACAGCAAATCAGATCTTAGGTATACATGCAATTGTTCAAAATTGATAAAAATGCCAACAAATTCACCTAGAAAAGGGACTGAATCTTTTCTGATGCTGTTGTGCATTTTGTGATGTCTTCCTTGTCTTTTTCTCCTGTTACTCTGCCTTACCTAGCCCCATGCCATGAGTCAGGACAGATGGAGAGGTGATAGCTATCCTACTCATAAGGTATCACACTGGGGTACTTTATTGTCATTGTCGTAGTTCTCGTTTTTACTTGCTGTCAGCTGTGCCTTCCTTGAGTTACCAGAATGTAGTGACTGCAGTTCCTTGTGGAAATCGGTTTTTCATTCCCTGTTTAATGCTACAATCATGTAAATGTGTGCGTGTCTCTTGCTATTTAGAAGCAGAACATACACTCCATTGGAACTGAATTGTTGTTTCACTGCCCTTGCTTAATGCTTCTTTCTGCACACAATGCTGCTTGGTTCTCAGCCACCCCCATATCCAGGGTTTGCTGGCATTTCACAACTAGGGAACGTCCGCCCCACCTCTGTGTATGAGGTAGTCACTCATGATGTTAGTCTGTGTGTTGTGCAAGCCTGTTCCTTCTTGCTGTAGTAAAACAAGTATAATTACAGATTCTGTAGTATTGTAATAAACAATTATCATAATACTACTAACATCTGTGTCCATAATATCACCAGGGTCCATAATATCGCCACCTTGAGAAACAGTGAGCTTAGGCCACACCAATTTAATTTGTTGGTTCTCGGATTCGCCTCTTCGTTTTTTTCTGATTTGCAAAAAAAAAAAAAATTGATTCTGGTCCTGAATCAACTGAAAAATGCTCATGTTTTGCCTCCAACAGTTGAGGAAAGTCCTTTTCTTCCTAGTTGTTACAGTTTTCCCATCTATCAATGCAGTGGTTTGATTAAAAGTTCAAAATTCAATGTTTAAATTTTAACCCAGCCTTTTGTGTTGACTTCATGGCTCATTCCATAGCATTTAAGCCTATAATAGGATGCCTAGACCTGTTTTTATTTTTATTTTTTTTTCGCCCTGTCTTTTTTCTGAAAAAATCCGAGAACCAACAAATTAAATTGGTGTGGCCTTAATATACAAGATATTTTTACTGCAACATACTTTTGGTATGCACTCCTTCACATATCAAATGTACATACCTAGGGTATGTTGCAGTAAAAATTATCTTTAAGCACACTATTTCTCAAGGTGGCGATATTATGGACCCTGGTGATATTATGGACATGGATGTTATATTTCATCACTGAATATCTCTACATGACTACTTTACTTACAAGACCCAGTGCTGCTATATGTACGTCACTTTTTGCCTGTTGAACTTGTTCATGTAACAATGTATTCTATATATACATTGTGTAATGTATGTGTGAGTGTTTCTGTTCTATCTGTCCCCCTTCCATCTTTACTATAGCCAACACTAGAGCACAGACCAGAAGCCAGCCTAGATAGGAGAGACATATCAGCTAAACTCAATGAGGTACATGTATATTGTGTGCTCGTAGCCAAAAATGCATCTTCATTGTCATTCCTTACTAGTCATCCAATTTCCAGCTGCTTGTTTAACTAACTTGTTTATGACTACATATTAATTTGCTTTAATGTTATTACTTTTGCATCTTACAAAACTCTACTGGACAGTTACTTGGACAGCAGGTACAAACTTGGATCTTTGTAGGGTGACATAAAGTCAGACAGACATGAAAGACGTTTAGCTTAGTTATTATAATAAGAAAACATCATCTTTATCAACGGCAAAATTGCATTTTTTGTCACAGCTCATACTTTTTTTCATGCTATTATATAATTTCAATAATTTGAAGACATTTCAAAGAAACAAATTTCAATAGTTTGAAGACATTTTAAAGAAACAATTATAAATTGTAATAGTATAAAACATCATACACAGCATTACTGTATCAGTTTTTTTAATTATTGTTGCTTCAGTCTATGATTTTAACTGTACAGCATCTTTAAATGCTACTGTCAATCATTTTATGCTTTGATTTAATTTAATTTGATTAATTTAATTTAATTTGATTTCATTTGGAACACTTCCTCTGATTCTCTCTATCCTTGGGACTATCCCAACTTTTGCAACAAATGTTTATTTCTTGCATGCACCACAACAGCAACATGCACATCACCCCACCAATGCAAGCCACGAACCTCGCTACACCTCCACACTCTACGTACAGGTACATTGTATCAACAGTAACTGTTGTTTTTTAGTAATATCCTCCACCTCTCTACATTTCACACATATCTTTAGGCCACACCAATTTAATTTCTTGGCTAACGGATATATCTAGAAAAATAATGGAGTGGCCGGCGAATAAAAAATAAAAATAAAAACAGGCCTATGCATCCTATTATGGCCCAAAATGGTAAGATAGGAGCCATGAAGTCAACGCACCAGGCTGGTTCAAAATTTAAACAATGAATTTTGAACTTTTAATGATACCATTGCATTGAAAGATGGAATACAATGTAACTGTTAAAACTAGGATGAAAAGGACTGTTTTCAACTGTGTAAGGCAAAATATGTCATTGAGCATTCTGCAGTTGATTCTGAATTTTTATTTTTATTTGCAAATCAGAAAAAAATGAAGCGGGCGAATCCGTTAACAAAGAATTTAAATTGTTGTGGCCTTAGGACAGTTTATAATTAATGGCACGTTGCTTCCACACTCACTCTCTTTGACAAATGAAGCAGTTTTTTTCATTATTCTGTCAAAAGCCTGTGTCAGAATTACTCAGGAATAGTTTTCTATTGGATGTGTAGCATGGTTTGTCAAACCTCCTACTGTGCTAGCAACTGAGTTGTCTAAGCAATTTAAACTTCACATTAAGTGCAGCATCAAAATTAAGGAATGATAGTTTTCGACACAAGCTTACAGACACTTATTGGTCTCAATGTATTTTTAAAGTTTCTTGTCTTCCTGCATGCTGCATGGGATTGTGGTAGCCATTCAGCCATCCAGGCCGTAACAATGACAGAAAGGCCATGCATGTCCGATTTGCCCCTGACCTTGAGGTAAAAAAAAAAGAAATTTTCCTCTGCTATGACCAGGTCCCATCTGTGTTAATTTAATTTAAGACTGAATATTTTTGTTGACTGTTCCTCAAACTGCTTGTTGGTGAATTCTGAAAACAAAATATGTTTTGTTTGTTGCTGCTGTGGATTGAAGCAGACACCAACACATGCCGAGAAGAAATATAACCTGAGTAGTGAACCCACGAATACTGCATCATCACCCATAACCATAGTTGTGTCTGAGACAGAAGGAGATGCCATTGTTGTGTCTCCAGACAAGGTGCCTTTAGAAACTTCACCATACTGACTTCATGCTTCTTACTATTTAGGCCACACCAATTTAATTTGTTGGTTCTCGGATTCGCCTCTTCATTTTTTTCTGATTTGCAAAAAAAGAAAAAAAATTGATTCTGGTCCTGAATCAATTGAAAAATGCTCATGTTTTGCCCCCCAACAGTTGAGGAAAGTCCTTTTCTTCCTAGTTGTTACAGTTTTCCCATCTATCATTGCAGTGGTTTGATTAAAAGTTCAAAATTCAATGTTTAAATTTTAACCCAGCCTTTTGTGTTGACTTCATGGCTCATTTTGTAGCATTTAAGCCTATAATAGGATGCCTAGACCTGTTTTTATTTTATTTTTTTTGTCCCTGTCGCTTCATATTTTTTCTGAAAAAATCCGAGAACCAACAAATTAAATTGATGTGGCCTAAACACCGAAACAATGTTCTAGCTAGCCTGAAATTTTTACCGTCATCTCGCAACAATCTTAGAGGTCCCGAGGCTTGTTCCCTTTGAAAATTGTGAATTGGAATCTTGACCCTCAGAGTCTAAAACGCTATTTTTCTGCATTTTTAGGGGCAAATTTTGCTGGTAGACAAAGCTGAGTTTAATGATATCTCTTTCTATATCTTAACTCGCCGATTTTTGTCTGTCAAAGATGACTGATTGGGCAAAGTTTTTGTCCACCATAAGTGACAAAATTCCGCCAAACGGAAAGACGGACGCTATTTAGAATGCTGCTCTGAAATTCCAGCATTTTCAAC